GTACGGTTGGAAAGTTATAGGCAAAACACTGGACAGAGATCGAAACTGAAAAAAAGAGAAAAACGATTCTGTCAAGAAACGACCGGTCGCTTTTACCTAACGACCGGTCGCTCATCACGTCAAGTTTGAGTTTCGACTCTGCCCAAAAACGACCGGTCGCCCTTACCAAATGACCGGTCGCTGGTTACTGTTCACAGCACATTTCCTTTTTGTTTTGTTTGTTTCTTTTACATTTCTTTACTTTCTTTTTAGTTTCAAATTTGCATTGTGGTGTGTTAATTAAGTGTTCTCTTTGTACTCGAATTAGAACTTATAGGAAACCGACAAGTTCTTCGTGGGATCGACCCCGTACTTACATAATCTATACTTCATTAGATTCGTGCACTTGCGGGTATTTTTAATTGGTTGTTTGCACATTAAATTGTGTCCTTTTAGGAATGCAACAATTTTTGGCGTCGTTGCCGGGGAACTGGCACGGTTGCTTATCTGTTTTGTTTGAGTATATTTAGAGTAATTAATTTTATTTTCATTTATTGTTTGTCGTTTCATTTTATTTTAGTTTGTTTTTGTTTCTTTTTATTGCAGGAACACTCTGCTTATGTCCCTTTTTGATTTGGATATTTCCTTAGATTGCACAATAGAAGATATCCAAGCTCAAGCTTTGAGAGAAAGGAAGATCCGACTAGCTGTGTCTACTCCATTGCCTATTTCATTCTCACCGTTTTCATCATCACCAAGCTCACCAAAGGACGAGTCACCTCCACCTTCACCAATGGCGGCCGCAGTTGTTAATGCGGAACTTACTATGCAAGAATACTCTTCACCGCCAACAACTGGACAACCATCTTGCATAGTATATCCGGCAACCACTTTGGAAAACTTTGAGTTGAGATCGGGCATGATACACATATTGCCTAAGTTCCTTGGAAATCTAGGAGAAAATCCTAATGCACATATCCTAGACTTCGAGGAAGTGTGTTCCACAATAAAGATCGAAGGCATGAGTAGTGAAGAGATAAGAGTGAGACTTTTCTCGTTTAGTTTGAAGGATACAGCAAAGGAATGGCTTCACTCTCTACCTCCAAATTCCATCACAACGTGGACAGACCTTGCTGCAAAGTTCTTGCAACATTTTTTCCCAGCACAAAGGACAAATGAACTCCGAAGTCAGATTAAAGGAATTTTGCAAAGGCCGGGAGAAAATTTCCAGGATTATTGGGAACGTTTCAAGAAACTTCTAATCACTTGTCCGCATCATAACGTACAAGCTTGGCTCCTAATGCAACACTTCTATGAAGGACTTTTTGAAGCGGATCAAAATAATGTGAATGCAGCTGCAAGAGAAACTATAATGACCAAGACTCCAACACAAGTGCGAGCGATATTTGATCTTGTTGCTGCAAACGCTCGCCAATATAACTCCAGGCAAAAACCAGTCAGAAAAGGGGAATCCTATGATGTAAGTACCCTTTCTAGTATGGAAGCTCAGATAGCAAACCTAACCAACATGGTGAAGAAATTGGCACCAGGATCATCCAAGGTTTGTGCATTTTGCTCCACAACTGGTCATGGCACTGAAGATTGTCCCTTGGCAATGGAGGAAGCGAATGTAGTGGGCTCATTTCAGAGAAATCAGTGGCCTAAGAATGATCCTTTCTCACAAACATACATTCCGGGGTGGAGAAATCATCCGAATTTCAGGTGGAGTGACAATTCGAATGTTCAACAAGGGCCATCTCAACCACATCAAGGCCAACAACATACTCGCCCACCTCATGGTCAACTGCACTATTACAATCCACCGCCACCTAACCAATCAAGCTCAAATCAATCTCACCCACAATCTACAGGAAAATCTTTGGAAGAAATTGTTGCTTCAATGGCTAGAAACACAGATAGTTTCATCAGTGAGACAAAAAGCTACATACAGAGGAATGACACCCACATGCAAAAAACGGATAAGGCCATAGCCAATCTAGAAAATCAAGTGGGGCAAATTGCTACAGCTTTGAGTCAAAGGGAACCTGGTATGATGCCTAGCCAACCAGAGATTAATCCAACTGGGCGTGAGCATGTTCAAGCAGTTACCTTGAGAACTGGTAAGGTAATTGGTGAAATTGATGGTTCTAAAAATTTGATTCAAAATGATGATGAGATGCAGGTTGAGCAAGTGATTATGCCTAATGAAAAGGATGAAATCAACAAAGAGAAAGATAAACAAGCAGCTTCTTCATCCGAGTGGATCCCAAAGCATGAACTTGCAAGAAGGGCAAGAAAGGAGAAGGTAAGTCGTGAACCTACTGATGAAGATATCTTACGTGCTCCTTTTCCTCACAGGCTTATGAGTTCCAAAAAAATTCAACA